GTTCGTCGGTGGAGTGAAAAACGAGGCATTGTTCGGAGCGGCGGCTGCCGCTGCCCGCCGACACGTCCGACTCCACCGACACCCGACCAGTGATCTGCCGTTCCTATGGTTCCCTTAGGGCGAGGTTCTGAAGGCTCTCTTCCCATACTCTCTCTCCTGGAATGTTTAGAGCAAGTGGCGATGGTTAGTAGGGTGAGGAAGGGCAAGTATGGCGGCTCAAGCCATGGGGTTTGTCATGATTGGGAATGGTGGTAGTTGAATTTGAGTAAACTGTCCTCTGAATGCCTTACATTGCGTTGATTACGGGGATCAATGTCTCCGCGGCCTGGTCTCTGACCCAGGCCGCGTGAGTGTGTCATCAAATTAAATTGATGGTCTGGTCAACCAGGCTGTTGGACGCGGCTGTTTTACAGCCTGGTTGATCAGGTATCCTTATCGAGTTCTCTGTTGAACACTGTGGAGGGGTCGGCCAGTTATGTCCCTTATGTGTAGTGGAAGCGTGTTAACAGTCTCGGGCCTCTGATGTTGATAGAGTTCTCTCAGAGTACCTGTTGCACCTCTGCTTGTAAATGGGGGTATTCTGCACTGTTATTCTATTGTTATTCTATTCTGTTCTCTATCCGTCTGCGCTCTAGAGAATACAGATTTAAGTATTTTAATCGGTCCCAATAATTTAGATTCTTTACTGAGCGGATTCTAGCAGTAACGGATCTCTGCACGCTCTCCAGGTCAGCAATATACCCAGCTATGAAAGGGGCTGTCATTGTGCAGCAGTACTCCACTCTAGAGAACACTAGCGTCTTGAAAATTATCATCATCGGTATAGCATCTCTTGAGTGAAAAGTTCTTGTTATCCAACCTGTCACTTTTCTTACAGTTGTGACTGAAAGGTTCTTGCAGGGGGGGGTTAATGTAAATTGCTCCATGAAACTAGCGATGGACGGCATTAACACGATCTAATAAAAATATTCAAGATCGTGCCAAGAAGTACGATTGCAAATCATGTTGCACAAACCTGTCCGAGAATGATTTGTAAAATTCTGTCAACATTAAGTCCAAGGATTTTCCAACCCCGCCTTCGACGTATAGATATAAAGGGCATAACTGTTAGATCTCAAATCGGATGCCTGCACCAGAAACCGGGCCTCGGGGACACTGGTGCCCCGCTGAACGTGTATGTGGTGAGAGAAGTGGATCTGGAGGGCCGTAGCCCAAGTGAGAGGACTGTAATGGGTGTAGGTGTGCTGTTCTCTGTCCGGATATCACTTTTGTGCTGAAGATCTTTCTGATAATCCCAATTCTGCCATTTCCTGCCCCCCCCCCACTTCCCCTACCCCCTCTCCTCCATCTAACCCCCCCCCCTCCCCCGCTTTTTTTCTCTATCCTTGGGACCTTCCCCGGTTCTCACTAACAGGTGGGCTCTATTTCCCATCCTCTGGAATATTATGATCTATATCTGTAAAAAAAAAAGGTGAGAGTGTGTGTGTGTGTGTAGGGTCCGACGCCGAACACTAACGTCAAGCCTCGCCCAACTTTCTAAGGTGACACATGGGACGTATGAGAGTTTCTTTGGCCAGTCGAGGCCGGCCCTAGTGTCACCCTTAAAAAAAAAGGCATCTATAGCGACCCCCTTCGATTTTCATGTAATGATTTTCCCGATTTCAAGTCTGAAATCGGGAATTTGTTTCCCATGGGGGAGCGGGGTGGGTGGGTGGGGGGGGGGGGGGCAGCCCGTTGGACCAATCTCTCTCAAGTCGAGCCTGGCCTCAGGCCGGGCTTGGGGAGTAGAAGAACTCCCAGAACCCCTTCAAGCAGGAAGTCCTACACGGAGACAGAATCTACACCCATCTACTATCCCCGGCGCTGTAGGCGTGTGGGGACGCACCCTCCAGTGGCCAGCAGTTCTGTCCAACTTCACAAGTACGGAGTGAGTGGAGGGGGATTATGATGGACGGGGGAATGGACTGGGCACGAGGAGGAGGTCGTACGTTCAGAGAATAGGTTGAAGAGAAGGAGATGGAAGGTGGCTTGATAGGAGAATGTAGTTGACAGATGACAGACTCACACGGCTGGAAGGATTACATTATGTGTAACATGGGAACGTTCGTGTGTGTGTGTTGTGCGGGCGTACATGCGGGCGTCAGATCCCCCCAACATGCTCAGGCTGTTGTATAAGCCTCATCCAGGCGTCTCCATCTTGCAAAGTTCCACCTTTCATTGTCCCCTTCCCCCCCCTCCTCCCCAGCAAGTATTAACGACCCCCAGCAAGCAGGCCCTTGCTGTAGGGTCGTTGCCAGGGGAGAACTGCCCTCTAAATTTCACGATTGGTAGTTCACAAGCGCAAAATACCAGTAATGATTCGTGTGATTCGATGTCATTAGTTTAACAGCCCGAGTTTGTATGCTGAATTTACGGTTGTTAGTGACAGTAGTTAGTGGTCGTTAGCAATAGTATTTAGCGTTATAGCAATAGCAGTTACTGGACTTTATTATTTACACAATATCCGTCCTTCTGTTGAACATTTTCTATAGATCTATTTACAATTTACAGGTGGCTATTACAAGGGAAATTTTGAATTAGATCTTCATGGACACTGTGACACCAGTAAGGTATTAGACACGGCAGAAAGAGCAGTGGAAGAGAGAGCGTAAGACACGGTACAAAGTGTCTTACATAGTACATAGACTCAAGAGTCCTGTGGCGCCCTGTACGGGGGTGGAAGCCACTTCCGCACACAGCTCTTGAGGCCAGACTCGACAAAGAATAAGCACTCGAGAATACCTTAGTTACATTGTAAAGCAACGGGGTACTATAAGGCCAGCGTGCGAGGCATGAAACTCACTCAGACTCACTAAAACTTAGACTTCACTTTCCCCTTTGTCAGTGTTAAGTACTTCCTCTGGGGTACCTCCACTGGGGGTACACAAGACAGGTGACACCGTTACCCCAGATGCCCGAGGGGCGGTACATACCCATTTCCGCACAAAACCAGTACCCAGGTTGTGCAACAAAGGTACGCGGTACATAGGTACTCGATGTGCATAGTACGGTGCAGGCGACGTCCTAGACTTGGTACGCCGCAGGTGCGGTACAGAGGCTCAGCTGCAGGTACGGTACGTCGCTGCCTTGGCAAACTGAGAACGTGAAGTATCAATGACGAGACGGTACAACTTTCGCCGGTACGAGAGGCAACGCTACGACGCCAGGCTGGGGGGGGAAGGGGTAAAGTGGGCCCATGACTCGCTGACCCCTCGACCCTACCTGACCCCAACCTGCACCGCAACACTCTCTCTGCTGCAGGTGTTGCACACCCCCCCCCCCATACTCTGTAAACACACACCTGGTTGATACCTGGTTGATGGGGTTCTGGGAGTTCTTCTACTCCCCAAGCCCGGCCCGAGGCCAGGCTTGACTTGTGAGAGTTTGGTCCACCAGGCTGTTGCTTGGAGCGGCCCGCAGGCCCACATACCCACCACAGCCCGGTTGGTCCGGCACTCCTTGGAGGAATACCTGTAGGTATCCCTCCCTGCAGAGCGTACACCCAGCCCTTCTTGAACAGGTTTGGTAAAGTGTATTGGAGTAAAGTGCCCGGCCAGCGTTGCCTGTGTGTGTTTCTAGAGTGTGGTTGGGTGTAGTGTGTGGCTGATACACTTTCATGAAGGGTTGCACAGGGCACTCGTACGACAAGCCAGAGATCGTCTATTCCGACTCCCAGTAAAGACGTTGATTACTGTAGTTGATTAAGAAGTTTGCTCTTTAACTTGTAAATAAAATATTCCATGATACGAACTTTTGTTAAAAGCGCAGATAGTGAGGACGAGGCCTGCCAGCCGTGTTTGGCAGCGTCTTCGGCCTAAGTTGTTGCTGCTTGTTGATAATGCATGCATTTTTCCCCAATCACGGGGCTCAACTTCCCTGCGGCCCGGTCTCTGGCCAGGCCTCCGGGTTGCTGGACTGGTCAACCAGGCTGTTAAACGTGGTTGCTCGCAGCCGGACGTATGAATCAGTTGGTGACCTGGTGGTGACATGGCCGCCCGGGCCGCTGTGCTAGACATCACTCAAGGGGAAGTGTGTACATGAAGTATTGCCACCCTAGACCCTCCTAGACCCCCCCGCCCCCGACTCCCCGACCCTCCTAGACCCCCCCCCCCCCCCCCGACCCTCCTGGACCCCCCTACCCCCCTCCCCGACCCTCCTAGACCCCCCCGCCCCCGACTCCCCGCCCCTCCTAGACCCCCCCCCCCGACCCTCCTAGACCCCCCTACCCCCTACCCCGACCCCCCTACCCCCTTCCCCGACCCTCCTAGACCCTCCTCGATCCCCCTATACCTCGCTAACACAATGAAACCAGACAGGTTTCCCTGCCACTTGAGTGTGGTCTCGCCGAGGTGGCCAGCACGCATGCTTCCCTCCGCCACGGTGTGGTGGTGGTCCAAGTAAGAGGCGACGCAGCACCGGCGCGCCTCACCAGGGCGGACCAGACCAGTTACAACGAAGCACCACTCTCGCAAGCCCTTCGTGGGGCACTAGACAGTGGCTGCTTCATCCGCCTGGATAATAGGGGGATTGAACTCTACCGTAACACCTAGTCGTTGGATGCTCGACTTGTTTAATTGGTAGAGATCAATCCTCCAATGTTCCTAGCTATTTACTTTGACAATGGTGTTGATTGCAGTTCATTCAAAATTATTTTTAATACCTAGGCCCGAGACTCGATGTTAATTCTTACGAGAGACATGTGGCGCCCTGGTAATTGACATATCAATAATCAGCGGGTGTTGGGTCATCTGCTAGATACTGTTTTGAGCTTCCTTGAGTAGTGTCCTGCTCCAGAGGACTGTGGAGATGTCATGGCCCTGTTCCCCTTCCTCCCTCACTCCATACTCCATGCTCTGCCAAACGGCAGCCTCCCTGTTCCTCCTTCAGACGGCACCAAGCCTAGTTATCATCCTCCTGGTGTCACGTCGCCCGTGCCTAACCTCTCCTCCCTCCTCCGGCAGGTTTCCATCTCTCTGGGACGGTCATGTGTACTCGAAGCTCCGTGGGGCCCCTCGCCGCTGCCGCCGCCGCCGCCACCACCACTACCACCACCACGGCCGTCGACTCCACCACCACCTCCACCACCACCTCCACCACTACCACCACCACTACCACCAACACCACCTCATCCACCTCCACGGCCCCACAAAAGTGCCAAGTCTCCATATCTTTCGACAGGTAAGAAATGCCTTTCTCACTGATTAACTGTGCAGACTCTCGTTCATCGCGGCCTTATCAACCAGACTGTTGGTGCTTGTAGCTTGCGTGTGGGCATAGCGGTCCAGCTGATTAGGCATAACCAAGGGTATATTATATTCCGTCTTGGAATGAGTGTAGAGAGGGTAGAGAAAAGTGTATAGTGAGAGTACATAGTGTACTCATGGTAAGCATATTGCTCCTAACATGTACACTGAGAGGTGTAGTACGCTGAGGTGTATGTACACTGAGAGGTGTAGTACGCTGAGGTGTATGTACACTGAGGTTTATTTTAATGGTGAGCTGTGTTCAGGGGGCTAAAGTGTGCTTGGTGGTTGGTGAATAGGCAGTTGTGGTGGCCTTAATAACCCCCTCCACAGGCTGGTAGGCCTTAAGCCCAACACTAAACAAGAAGTATTGCTTCCCGTCTTGCCACGGGGGGTGGGGGGGGGGGTTGTTACGCTTTTCTGTCGCCTCTGGAGGTTATCTGGAGATGATTTCGGGGCTTTAGTGTCCCCGCGGCCCGGTCCTCGACCAGGCCTCCACCCACCCAGGAAGCAGCCCGTGACAGCTGACTAACACTCAGGTACCTATTTTACTGCTAGGTAACAGGAGCATAGGGTGAAAGAAACTCTGCCCATTGTTTCTCGCCGGCGCCCGGGATCGAACCCGGGACCACAGGATCACAAGTCCAGCGTGCCGTCCGCTCGGCCTCCATGTTGTCCACGTCCCTGTCTTGTCTCTCACTCGTCCTTGGTCATCATGTCTTTGTGTATTTCCTCTTACTGTTTTTCGAGTACTGTGTTGGGCTGCTGCTGGCACTCCCGTCACTTGTTCCCATACTGATGGCGGCCTCGTCTGTATCTCTGCCACCTGAAACATTACTGTGTTGGGCTGCTGCTGGCACTCCCGTCACTTGTTCCCATACTGATGGCGGCCTCGTCTGTATCTCTGCCACCTGAAACATTACTGTGTTGGGCTGCTTCTGGCACTCCCGTCACTTGTTCCCATACTGATGGCGGCCTCGTCTGTATCTCTGCCACCTGAAACATTAGGCAGTTTTGGCCTATTAAAGGAGCCAGTATACTAGACAGACCTTCACAGCCACGGCAGGTAGGACGTAACAATATTACTTAATTTACTAGTGGGTAAATGGGAGGGAAGACGACTACACTAGGGGGCATGCCTGTGGCGTCAGCTGAACACATCCAAGCCTCCTTCCTCTTGTCTTCCTATACCGTTGATAGGTTAAGTAATAATTGTAAATAAGAAGCAATGAGATGCTTATCTTAACATACTAAGAAGGTTAGGTGAGGTTGGTGTTTTCTATGAAGCTTTTCAAGGTAAACTAAAATATTTACAATCAATTAGTATGTCACATATGCACTTATTAAATAAGCCAATATTGACTATAAGCAAGTGCGAGAACGGGTTGCAACCATAGACCTTCTGGACAATGCTATATCCTGATATATCTATGAGGAAATCATTGGAGCAGGAATGTCTGGGGTCACCCAGGACGCCGGGTTCGATACCCCGGTCCTGCTCGAAAGATTTTCTCTTGAGGAGAATGTTTCGTGAGTGGTCTTCTCTGCCTTGTGTGACCTTAATGTGGTTCTTAGTGTTATTTTATTGTGTACTTGGTTGTTATGGTTAATGCCTCAGAGGGCTTTGTGGTTGAGAAGTGATGGGGACGGTCTGGCAAGGAAATTTTAATAACGTTAAGAAAGGGGTAACCTTGTCATGGTTTCAAGGATCAATGTACCCGCGGCTCGGTCTGTGACACGGCCTCTTGGCGACGAATACTCTTAGCTATGGCTAAGCTAAGATCGCTAAGCTAAGCTAAGACGATGGCTAAGAACAGACACAGTAAGCTGCACTAAGATCAAGATTTTAGTCCATTTGAGTGTTTAGTTACAGATCTGTAGGTAGAGGTCCGCATAGTCGCTCCCATAGTTTACAGTCTGACGGAGAGCAATTGAGTCTTTTATTGATCATATTGAGCAATTGAACAATTTATATCGACAGGGACAGACGTGGTCCCTGTCGATATAAATTGAATATCCACAGAATTGATCAATTATCAATTTATTGATTATTGATCAATTGATCATTAGTCGGTGCTAAAGTGCCTCCCATGACGAAGCGGGAGTCATAACAGTAGTTGTAGGGGTAGTACTACCTTGTTGGACAGTTGGACTTGTTGGCAGTAATACCGTTGGACGTTGAATATGTCATTGAACCTGGACGTTGATACGTCCAGGCTGTACGTAATCAACGGTTGACGACGTTGGTTCAACGTTGAATTGACGTTGTTCTTGAATAGCGTCACGCCCTCTGGGGAGGAAGAGGTGGCGCCGGCGCCATTCATATTGTGTGACTCCTTTGCTTCGTCTCTCCTCCACGTCTGTCCTTAATTATGTCTTTATTGTGGCTTTTCTTGCTTCTGGTTCGTTGCATGGTGGCCGAGGTGTGGTGCCAGTGCCACACCACCACCAGTGTCACACCACCACCAGTGCCACACCACCACCAGTGTCACACCACCAGTGTCACACCACCAGTGTCACACCACCACCAGTGTCACACCACCAGTGTCACACCACCAGTGCCACACCACCAGTGTCACACCACCAGTGTCACACCACCAGTGTCACACCACCAGTGTCACACCACCACCAGTGTCACACCACCAGTGCCACACCACCGCCAGTGCCACACCACCAGTGTCACACCACCAGTGCCACACCACCACCAGTGTCACACCACCACCAGTGTCACACCACCAGTGTCACACCACCAGTGTCACACCACCACCAGTGTCACACCACCAGTGTCACACCACCAGTGTCACACCACCAGTGTCACACCACCAGTGCCACACCACCAGTGCCACACCACCAGTGTCACACCACCACCAGTGTCACACCACCAGTGTCACACCACCAGTGTCACACCACCAGTGTCACACCACCAGTGTCACACCACCAGTGTCACACCACCAGTGTCACACCACCACCAGTGTCACACCACCAGTGTCACACCACCAGTGTCACACCACCAGTGTCACACCAGTGTCACACCACCAGTGTCACACCACCAGTGTCACACCACCAGTGTCACACCACCAGTGTCACACCACCAGTGTCACACCACCACCAGTGTCACACCACCAGTGTCACACCACCACCAGTGTCACACCACCAGTGCCACACCACCACCAGTGTCACACCACCAGTGTCACACCACCAGTGTCACACCACCAGTGTCACACCACCAGTGTCACACCACCAGTGCCACACCACCAGTGTCACACCACCAGTGTCACACCACCAGTGTCACACCACCAGTGCCACACCACCAGTGCCACACCACCATAACCAGTGGTCTGAAACAGACAGACAGTGGCTAATGACAGTGGCTGCACTGTCATTAGCCACTGTCACTTAGCCACTGTCACTTAGCCACTGTCAATAGCCACTGTCACATTAGCCACTTAGGATAGCTTGAAGGGGACTCAAGATAACATGATGGTGACGATAGACATGATGCCAGTGATGAATACAGTGCTATGTAGCCTCGCTACTCATTTAACATTAAATATTATTCAACATCTCGAGATACAGACTTGAAGACATTGAGGTGACCCTCCTGGTTGTTGAAGACGGAGTGGAGGAAACTGCCAGGAAGCTAGTCACGCCGCCTCCTTAAGGTATACAGGTTCGAGTACCTCTGGGTCCCCCCGCGATAACAGCTTGATGGTTAAATGCAACCTCAGAATACCGAGAAAAAAAAATTGTACCACTTACGGGCTATTCATGCCCGTGCCACCTCTTGGGTGGCTTAATCTTTATCAATCAATCGAGTACCTATGTTGACACAATAAGATACACCTCTAAAGGATAGAGTAGCTTAGGCTCTATCCTCAAGACTAGTACATGGCGCGGACTGATTTTGAGGGAGTGACGGCCTACAGGCCTACCTTGCAGGCCTACCCTGCTGGCCTACCCTGCAGGCCTACCCTGCTGGCCTACCCTGCAGGCCTACCCAGCAGGCCTACTCTGCTGTGTTCGTATCTTATGGTCATATAATACTTTGGATAGCTTGAAGGTGACTCAAGATAACATGGTGACTCAAGATAACATGAAGGTGACTCAAGATAACATGAAGGTGACTCAAGATAACATGAAGGTGACTGAAGATAACTAATAATAACTTCGAGAATATAAGAAACAAAACGTGTGATGATGATATTAACGATAACACAATAAGTGATTATGATAAAGGTAGAGATAACACTCCCGGGTGAAGAGTAGATGGTACGCGATAACAGTTAGTACAGACATGGGTGTGATATCACTAGTGGCCGCGATTGATATCGAAGGTTACATCACAGTTAATGCAATACTAGGAAACGAGGAAGTGTAATTAAACAGCGCAGTTAATGTTATCTTAATGTTATTGCAACAACCAAATAATAAGTTTATGTAATGCATATACAGGCCGGAGGGGGGGGCGGGGGGCGTGCACATGCACATCCTGTACACCAGTAGATTGACAGTTGAGAGGCGGGGCCAAAGAGCCGAAGCTCAACCCCCGCAAGCACAACTAGGCGAGTAAATGCGGGGGAGGGGGTGTGCTTGCACTTACCTAAGAGTGTTTACCTAACAGTATCTACTGAGAAATGAGGTTTAACTCTCTATCCGCCCCGCCTACTAGCCTCGTTAGACCTGTTGCATTACAACCTAACTATTCTAGCGTTCGAATCGTGCCAAAAGGTGTGGATGGAGGTGGCTTCTATTACTTCATTCCGTGTATTCCACTTGTTGATAAGTGGACGAGTACTTCCTTACATTCCTTCGGCTCATTTGCTTTCCCGGCTTCCACTTGTGTCCTCTGGTCCGGCGTTCACTTGTCCACTTTATTTCCCTCGTTATCTTGTATGTGGTGGTCATATCCCTTTGTTCCTTCTATCCTCTAGGGTT